CTTTCCTTTCCTTTCCTTTCCTTTCCTTTCCTTTCCTTTCCTTTCCTTTCCTTTCCTTTCCTTTCCTTTCCTTTCCTTTCCTTTCCCCTTTTTTCTTTCCCTTTGTCAACCAATATGTGCCAGTATCCTTTCAGTCACTGCTGAATGTCACTGGTGCCTCAGGTTTAAAAATCAAGAGATCTGCAAGGTGTTTCCAGCTGCTGAGGAAACTTTATTGGAGCTTGAGCAGAAATTAAAGCACTTTTTCAGGTCTCCTTGTTGTGTTCACATTCACAACATCTCAGTTCCTGAGGGCTGGTGAGAGGGGAAGGGATGCCAAGAGAGAAAACAATATTAAATAAGATCTTCCTAAACACCACTGGTGATATTTGGTGAAATCAGGTTTAAAAGTGTGAAAACAGGCCCAGGATCTGATTTTTAGAGGATGCACAAACACATGATGAGAACAAGTCTGCCTCACTCAAATGCACAAACTCACCTGCATTTATTGACAGGTAAAAGGCTTTGTGGTGCAAGCTGTGCAGGACATGGAGCCTGTTCCCAAGATAATCTGCTACATCCATCCTGCTTTTTGTCTGTTCAGATTTCCATTATTAAAATTCCATTATTTTATGGAGTGCAGAGTGCTCAGTTGGTGTGGCAGGGGGTGGAAAAGATTAGAAAGTCCCTTCCCACCCAAACCATTCCATGATTCCTTGAAAGTGAAACCTACTCTGTTCTCAAGAGTCCTGCAAGGGCCAGAGTCCTGCAATAAGCACAGACAGAGATGGAAATTTAAATTCAGGAGTAATTCCACTGAAGTCCCTTCCTTAAATGAATTCTATTTTTAGGACTGTTATTTATAGAGGAGGGATATTTTCAAGTTCTGTAGCTTTTCCTTTACAAAATACTGCAAAATAACACAAATATTTACAGGCAGATGTTCCAATTTCCATTTCATATCCTCAGCCCTGGGTGTTCCATTACTGTAAATTATCACCACAGACAAAATCAATTTCAGTTGAAAATTCAATGTGTTTATTGTCATTCTAGATGAATTTCTGCAATAAATACCATTTGTTTTCACTTTGCAGGAGGTCCTGGGCTACAAAGTGGATTACCATGTCTCTCTCTATATCGTGGCTGTCTTGGAATACATCTCAGCTGACATTTTAAAGCTGGCTGGAAATTATGTTTTCAATATCCGACACTTTGAGATCTCCCAGCAGGACATTAAAGTATCAATGTGTGCTGATAAGGTAAGGGGTTGGGATTAAAACTCTATTTACAGGTGATGTGTTAAATTTTATTTAATCTGGAAGGTGTGTCCCAAGGAGGATCAGAGGGAAAGCCTGGTTTTACTCAAAGGCAAAGCTTCTCTCCTTGTTTGTGGCAGACCTGTCACAGCAGAAATTTAAGTCAAAGGCAAAGCTTTTCTCATCATTCATGCCAGATTTGTCACAGCAGAAATTGAAGTTAAACCTGGGTAAGTTTGGGAACTGCAGGAACCTTTACAAGCAGTGTAAGGACAAAAAATGATGTTGTCCTTTATTTCTCTGCTGTCACACCCTCCTGATGTCACTTTGTCATGGCAGCTCTCCTTCATAACAAAGAAAAGACCTTTAGTTTTCATGCCCATTAAAATGAGAAACATTTTTGTTCGGTTTTATCTTCAGCAGGAGGTTTTGTCCAAGGCTTATGCAAGATGCCTTGTTTTCCAAGTTGATCCTGCATGAATTGTAACTTGTTTTCTAGGTCGTGCTCACTTCCAAGGGGGAAAATGGCTTTGGCAACTGCTTCAGCCTCCTGCTGCCAAAATTGAAATATTACTCCCTTGTGAAAGTGAACACAGCAAGGATTGTATTAAAAACTCCAAGGATTTCTCTGAACACATTGAAAGAGATGAGCTGGAGCCAAGTGTGAAAATCTGTCTGGGTGTAATTCTCCGGATTTCTTTGGCAGGTTTTGATGGATATGTTTGATCAGGATGAGATTGGGTTGGTTTCTCTGTGTGAGGACGAGCCCTCTTCTTCTGGGGAGCTCAACTACTACGACCTGGTGAGAAATGAGATTGCAGAAGAAAGGCAATACCTGAGGGAGCTCAACCTGATCATCAAAGTATTTCGGGAAGCTTTTCTGTCCAACAGGAGACTCTTCACACCTCATGTGAGTCCTTTCTTCATGAGCAATGCTAATTGCCCCATTAGCAGCCAGAACTCACCCATTTTGCGTTAATTATGTTGGAGGTGAAATCAAATTTGATTTATTGTCTGTCAGTGAGTAATGAGCATTGTCTGTGAGTGAAATCCAATGGGGGAATTGCCATTAATAGCATGAGAGTGGAGCTTAATGGACACAATTCCCTGTCAGATGCCAGCAGTAGCTGGATTATTTTGGTCATTTAGGTAATAATTTCATTTTTGCTTAACACAAAAATTAAGTCAGCTACCTGCACGTGCAGTGAGTGCTTGAACTGACATTTACAGGCTACCTCTTATCTGTAGAAATTCCAATTAAAACAGCCTTTGGCTGTGGATTCTCTTAACTGGGAAGGGAAACTGTGTTTGATAAATGATTGAAATATTTCATTGAAATTGTCTTGTGGTAAATTCTGTTCTCAGGAGGGGTAAGGAAGGATTGGTGGATTCTTCCTGTGGGACAGGGAGAAGGGGACAGGCCAGCAGAACCTGAACTGGGATTTTTAGGTGATTTTAAGCAGCAGGTTAAAAAGAGACAGCAGGAGCCATTCCCATCCCAGCTGAGTGTGGAGATTGGAGGAGCTGATGGAATTGTTGTGCAGATGTGGGGTAGAATTCCTGTGAAGGTGGTGGGAGGAGGAGGGAGCCATGCTTGGGAGCTCAGGAATATTCTTTTGGGAATGGATATGGGAAATTTCAGGATTTCATGTTCCCACAAGAGGGTTGGCATGGTCTGGGCACTGGCAGGAGGTCAGGGGGAGGTGGGGGCAGAGAAATTTCTGAGCAGGGAATTCAGAGGGGAAATCCAGGACACTGGAAAGGGCTCCCTCATTGAGTGTGGGGGAATTGAAAAATTCACAAATCGAATTTGGGAAGGAAGTTGCCAATTCCTGCTCCATCCCCAGCTCTGCTGAAGCAGCCCAGGAGCTGCTTGAGCTGCAGCTGTGCTTTAGAGGATCAGAGCTTAGGGCTGCTCTGAATTCCTCCTGCAAATCCCCTCCTTCCTGCTGTGTTCTGTGGGACAAGAGGGAGCAGTGACAGCAGGAAAGGCCAGCAGTGCCTGGCCAGGTCCCAGCCTGTCCTGGGAGCACAGCAACTCCTGGGGAGGATGCTCTGGAAATTGGGCAAGGCTGGATGTGCTCAGGGAATCCTGGAGGGCTGGGAAGACCACAGAGATGAAATTTTCCTTGTTTTTTCGTTGAATCTTCTCCATTTTTGCCTTCTGGTTCAGACAAAACTCCCAATATTTACATGCTCCAAATAAATTACCCCAGACAGGACTCAGCCATGTTTTGTGTTTGCAGGACATTGATGTGATTTTCAGCAACATTTCAGACATCCACGAGCTGACAGTGAAGCTTTTGGGATTGATTGAGGACACCGTGGAAATGACAGATGAGAGCAGCCCTCACCCTCTGGCTGGAAGCTGCTTTGAGGACCTGGCAGAGGTTTGGTGTTTGATTGGGGTGGTTTGGGGTTTTTTTTTTTATGTTTATTTTTATTAAATTATTCAAAACAGGGTTTTAATTCAAAATTAAATTAAATTAAATTAAATTTAAAATGCGTTGTTCGACATGTGGAATGGGAAATATCTTCATGGAGCAGGGACTGCAGGAATGAAGAATCAAAGCAGAAGTTTATGGCTGAGGATTGTTGCAAAAGTGCTCTTGATACCCACTGAGCTCTAAAATAGACATTAAAGAGTAGGAATAAGGGAAAACACTGCCCTGGGATTGGGTGTGGCTCATACTGGAAGGTTATTCATTATTTTCTCAGTTTGTTTTGAGTGGGCACTGAAATACTGGAAGGAATTTTTTTTTTTTAATTCTGAAATACTCCATAATAAAATTATTCTGAAATACAGAAGGGAGTCACAAAGCTGAAGTGGGATAGAGCTCAATTTATTCAGAATTTCTGAAAATAGGTGCAAAATGACTGGAATTCACCAGGGAAAAAGCAGCATCTGAGAGGCAAGAGGACAATTCAGCTTAGAATAAACCACACCATTTTAATTGTCTGGGGAGAAAAACTCTTGGAGTGGGTGACCAAGGTGGAGATGGAAGCTTTGTAGTCATTGGACATGGTTTAAATGGAATCTGCTTTTCTTTGGGATGTGTGTTAATCCCAGTTTTTGGCCCTAAAACATGACAGCAATCATATAAATCACTGTTAGAGAGGGAACCAATGAGTTTTTCTGGGCTGACAGAGAAGGTATCAGGTGAACCACGTGGTGAATGGCAAATTCTTGGTTATTTCTCTAAATTGTAATCTTTATTAAAAAAATAAAACTCCCATTTGATTTTTATTTATCTTTCATTTTTAAGATCTGAGTTTTGCATGAACACCTAGCACAACCAGGACAGTTATTACATTTTTGTGGCTGTAAAAAAATAGTGATTTTTGGGCCCAGGTGCCACTCCTTTAGGAGCAGACCATAAAGTTTTCTTGGCATTGCTTCAATAAACCACTCATGTAGGAAAGTCCAGTTGACCAAGTCTTAGCAGTTATTGAAGGATAATTGCTTTATAATGATAAGGAGAAGTGTTTGATCAATGGATTAAAGCAGTTATAATATTGAAACTGTAAAAAAGCCCAAAAGCTTAAATTTGAAATAGTGCAGCATTATCCTGGGAAAAAAAAAATCAGATTTTATTGCAAAAGCTGCTCTGAGTCATCCTGTGCTTTAATGGAAACAAATCCTTTTCAATGAGTGAAAATCTCATCTGATTTTTCATTCACTGAAAAACTTGAAGAGGAAATGAAGTCCAGAGATTATTTTTCCAAGCTTTTTATGAAGGTAATATATTTTGAATTTATTAATTCAGTTAATATGGGGCAAGACCTGCTTAATAACTGAGCTGTTGATTTGATCATGTCACAGGGTGAGATCATCTTTCTGTCAGTGTTTGCAAAAGGAATCATTAAAGAGAGATAGGAAAGTGAAATGTTTATTTGCTCTGCTTATCTCACTGCCAGGGTTTTCATTTAGTGTTTCCATTAAAAAGGTCCTTCAACTTCTTGGGAAGGATAATTAAAACCAAACAACCCTTGCAAGCTGGAATCTTCCTGCTTTGTCTGATTTTTTTCTGCATCAGGTCCCTGGAAGGTTTAAAAACATAAATATTGTCATGGTTTTGAGATAAGGAAGTGTGGGGAAAATAAAACATTACTTTTGTGTATGGGGAAAATAAAATATTTTTTGCTGGTGTGGAAGAAATTCAGAAACTGCTGCCCAAAAATTGAGAGCCTCAGAACAGGGCAGAGGGTTTCTGCTTTGAAGGGATTTTCACAAGGCAGCTGATAAAACAAAGGCATTGTCAATAGATTGTAAATTTGTTTTCTGGTGTTTCCATAAGAGGAGTTTTTTAAGTATCCACAAAGGAATAAAGGTGGGGAGCAGTGCACACACCAGGGGGTGAAATGGGCAAACACCAATCCAGGGCCATGTCCTGCCCTGAGAGAATTTCTATTGATAATCTGTAATCATCAGGGGGAGGCTCCCATAGAATCCCAGCATGGATTGGGTTGGAGAGACCTTAAATCCTTAAAATCCCATCCAGTGCCACCCCTGCCATGGCAGGGACAACTTTTCATTGTCCCAGGCTGCTCCAGCCCCAGTGTCCAACCTGGCCTTAGGCAATTCCAGGGATCCAGGGGCAGCCACAGCTGCTCTGGGAATTCTATTCCAGGGTCTCCCCACCCTCTCAGCCAGGAATTCCCAATATCCCATCTATCCCTGCCCTCCTTCAGCCAAAATCCATCGATTTCAATATTCCAAAATGCCATATTTCAGTCACTTTTGCAGCATTGCAAGCATAAAACACTTTTTAAATAATTAATTTCTCAGGGAAAATCCCTAATGCAGTTCATTTTAATCTCATGTTCATAGAACAAGCCCAAAACATAAAAATACTGATTGAAGTCTATGTGGAAGAAACTTAAACTGCTTATAAATGCAGTAAAAATGAAAAAAAAAAAATTCCAGATGACAGCACAGAGTCAGGAAATATTGGCCTGGCTCCTGCAATGGATTTGCACTGTGGATTGCACTGTGACTTGAGACGTCACCAATGTTCAGACAAGCCTTTTGTGGGGTTGATATTCCCAAATCCTGCAGCCTGGCAAGCACTGAGGTGTAAAGAGGGATGTGCTGATCCCAGCAGTGACTCAGCAGTGAATCAGCCCCAGGAATCTGCAGGGACTGGGATCAGCCTGACAGGCCCTGGCACAGCCCAGCTGGGAGCCAGGAATGATCCCTGCAGGGATTCCAGGATTCCTGCAGCCAGAAATGATCCCTGCGGGATCCCTGTGCAGCCAGAAATTATCCCTGTGCAGCCAGAAACAATTCTGCAGGAATTCCTGCAGCCAGAAATTATCCCTGCAGGGATCCCTGTGCAGCCAGAAATTATCCCTGCAGGGATCCGTGTACACCCAGAAATTATCCCTGTGGGATCCCTGCAGCCAGAAAACAATTCCTGCAGGAATTCCTGCAGCCAGAAATTACTCCTGTGAGATTCCAGGATTCCTGCAAGGATCCCTGTACAGCCAGAAATTATTCCTGTGAGAGTCCAGGATTCCTACAGGGATTCCTGCAGCCAGAAATAATTATTGCAGGGATTCCTGTGCAGCCAGAAATGATCCTTGTGGGATCCTTGCAGACAAGGAAAAGATTCTTGTGCAGTCAGAAATTATTCCTGTGGAGTCCCAGCAGCCAGAAATGATTCCTGCAGGAATTCCTGCAGCCAGAAATTATTCCTGTGAGATTCCTGTACATCCAGAAATGATCTCTGTGGGGTCCCTGCAGTCAGAAATGATTCCTGCAGGAATTCCTGCACATCCAGAAATGATTCCTGCAGGAATTCCTGCACAGCCAGGTTTCCATCCCATCCTGCTGTAGCTGACCCTGTGGAATCACAGCTGGATACTCCAAACAAAACCATAATTTTTGCATCTAAACCCTTGATGTCACTTGAAGACTTTCCCCTGAGACTGGTTGCTTTGTCTCAGATGAGATATTATCCCTGGAAAATGTCCCAAGTTTCTACATTGTCCATCTTTCTGGACAGAGAGGAGATAAAATTGCCATTCCATGTGAAATGGAGTGAAAAGCAAAAACTTCTCTTAGTTCCCACTGCTTCAGTCCAACAAAATTTATGTTGGCCATAAAGATGGGAAGGTTGAGGAATGCCAAGAAAATTATGGGCATTTAAAAGCTGGAAGTGAAAGAAGGTTGGGGTTTACTTTATTTTGCAAAATCAATATTTTCTTGAAAAGTCCCATCAGCTTATTAAAGGAAATGATTGTACCAGCTGGGACAGAAATAGTTTGGATCCTTCACTTCTGTGTATAATTCTGAGTTTTTATTTAGGAGCAAGCCTTTGATCCATATGAAACCTTGTCCCAGGATATTCTCTCTCCACAATTCCATGAACATTTCAATAATTTAATGGCCAAACCTGCCGTGGCTCTCCACTTCCAGGTGAGTGCAAATGAGAAATACTGAATGGATTTAGTTCTCATATTCCAAAGGTTGGAATTCTGTCAGTAATTCTTTGCTTCCAACTAAGGAAGAATTCCTCAAGGTCCTGCCCTTTCTTCAGTGTGAGATATTTTGACTTTGCCTCTTGTATAAAATCAGGGCACAGCTCTGACCCATCCATGAATGTTTTGCAGGTTTTTTTTCTCCTCACATCTTGTATGAGAACAAAGGGTGAATTCTCACACTGCCACTTTTCTTTTGCCTTTTAAAGCCAACCACAAGCACACAAACACCATATTTTCATTTTTCCTGTGCATCTCCAAGCCTCCTTCAGCATGGAGGCTGATTTTTCTGGAATAATTCTTCAGTAATTTCTCCCTCATTTGTGTCCAGCAGGATTATCTGAGCAGTGATGGGTCACTGGTGCTCCCAGTTCAGCCCAGTTTAGTGGTACTGGGGCATCTGAGCCCTTCCTTCAGGCAGAGTTTCCTCCTCTCCAGCTCTGAGCCCTTGGTGAGCTGCATCACCTCACTCTTCAATTCTCCTTGGGGAGTGAGCAAGGAAAGCTCTTTGCTTCCTTCCCTCCTAAATTTAAAGCTCAAAGCTGGAATTCAATTCTTTTATTTCAGATTAAATTGATATTCAAGTCAGGTATCAGTGAATCTGGCATTGTTTCTGACCCTGAGGTAATTCAGTTTTCCTCAGCAGTGATGCCATGGAAGATGGCAGGAATTTCACCTCTGTTTGGAAAAATCTCTCCTCATCTTACAACCTGAATTACTGCCCTAGTCAACGACTGGGAATGCAAAATATTTCTCATTTTTTAAGTGATAAACCTGTGATTCTCACTTTCTGAGGTGATACTGATTTCTTCAGCACCCAATGATGTCTCCATATTTCTGTGGGATATTGGACATAATGGGATCACAGTGAATATTCTGAGTATTTCAGTGTAAATAATTCTGGTTTTTTTTTTTCCTTTTCCAGTCCACAGCTGAAGGATTTAAGGAAGCTGTGCAGTATGTCCTGCCTCGCCTCATGCTGATCCCAGTCTATCACTGCTTGCATTACTTTGAGTTGCTGCAGGTAAAAGGAGCCACCCTCTCATTTCTGACTAAAAATAATTATTAATGTAGAGAATCTGAGTTTTTTAATGAGTGGTTACATTTTACTTAACTCCCTTTGAAAATTAAAATTATTTGACACTGGTTACTTCATTTCTGAAGAGTAAAAACATATTAAAAAAAGATCTTAAAAAGCATCTGTTGCTTTCAGATGAACATTTGAACTACATTTTGTTAAACAAATCTTTACTGAACTTAAGTTCTAATATAGTAAAAAAAATTAATACACAAATCTAATTTCTTTTTTCTATGACTTCTGAATTTTTTTATCCATTCAGAAAAAGCTAAGCAGGATTCAGTCAGAATTCTCAGCCTCAGGTCACACTCCAGCTCAGTTTATTATTTCAGAATAATCCATTCTTAATATTCAACCATTTGTCCTGAGTCCTAACTGGAATTAACTGAGGATAATGTAAAAAAAGGTTCTGTTTGCCCCATTGTGTGGGGAAAGTTTGTAATGCTTTAAGGGTAAATGAATTATTAACTAACAAGGATGAACTGAAATTAAATGGGTAAACCAGCCTGTGGCTATAGCTGACATTTGGAAATAACAACAGAAATTAATCCTTGAGGTTCTCACTGTAAAATCTGATGCTGTACAGGTGAGTTATAGAGAGTTCCTTTGTGTTTTAAAGGATTTATTTGTATGAAGGAGGAAAAAAGAATTTATTTATAATCCAACTTAAATATTTCTAGGAGTTATGTTAATACCAGGTCTGTAATTAATATTTAGCACAAACTCCTTTTTTTTTTTTTTTAATTTCTACTTTATTTCACTCTTATTTTCATTATGTCTGCTGTGATTTTTTGCATATCCTGATTTAAATAAGTAGAAACAAGGGATGATTTCTTTTTGACCCATCTCCAATGAATGGATTGCCAATATTTTGCAGTAAAGTTGAAATCCCAGAATGGTTTGGGTTGGAAGGGACTTTAAAGATCATTTGGTTCTAACCCCAATACACCTAAATATGAGTGATTTCAGTAAATTTCCAATTGTTAAACATTTCTAGTGATACTCAATTTAGAAAACAGTTCAGAAAAGCTTAAAAAAAACCCCCAAACCACCTTAATTTTCCACAATTCCTGACAGGAGGGTCAAGCTCTGCTCCCAGGGGACAAGGGACACCACAAGAGGAAATGGCCTCAAGCTCTGCCAGGGGAGGTTTAAATTGGATATCAGGGAAAAATTCTTCATCAGAAGAGTCTCTTTCCAAAAGAATGGAATTTCCCTTTCCATAATCATCTCCTGCATGGGATCATTCTCTGGAATTTCTGGAAATCTTTCGGGTTGAAAAGGCAGAATTGGGTCAGTGCTGAAGGTCAGGCTAATTAATGACCCATTAATTAGTAATTAGATCTGGGAAAGTGCATCAGGATGAAATTAAAGGATGAAATCAGGTGCTGCCACAGCTCTGGGGGAATCTGAACCTCCAACTGGATTGACAAGTGTAAAATGTGTTTTTCCCATTTTTAGGGAAGCATTTCCACAGGTGCCCTATCGAGCAGAGTTATCCTGGTTTTGATAAATGAAACCTGGCAAAATCATTTTGTTGTGTTTTTATTTATTTTAAAGGATGATACAGCAGGGTGCTGCATGAAAGATGATCACTTTAGCAGTGAAAATATTAAAATTTGACCTTTATCCACAGTGCATGAGATTTCTGAGAAGAATCTGATACTTGGATGTCTCACAACCTTGTGAGCACAGAACAGAAATCTGAAATAATCACCCTGTAGAAATTGTCAATCCAGAGTATTTTGTCATGTTTCCATTAGTTACAGGTTTCACATTTGCATTTCGTGTTGTGCTTTGAAAAAATCCTGAATTTACAGCAGGGATTTTTAGAAAGCAGAGTAGTTTTGGGGAGTAAAAAAGTATTTATTCAATAATATTAACATGTAACTTTAAAAACTGGTGGTACTGCTTCTCTGTTAGCATTGCATTTGCCTCTAGGAATTATGGTTGAAGAAGACCAAAATGAAAACAAAAAAAACCAACAAAACACATTTTCACAATTTCAGTAGGGAGAGAAGCTCAGATTGAGACTTTTGAGAAAGTTCCCAAAATCCCTTCTGAATTGGGAGGTGAATAAAATAATGATTTACAGAAACACAGGCCTCAAGATTTGCTTTTTTTTTTGCAAAACACCAAAACGAAAATGAATAAAATTAAAGTGTGAAAAGCCTGAAAATTCTTTCAAGCTGTAGAACTTTTCCTCCTTGGTGGAAAAACCTTCAGGATCTGCAGCAGAGATTCCTCTTTGCCTGAGCAAAGGGATCAAGGTCCTGAATGGAATCTTTCCTTCTCCCAGGATTATTCCTGATTCCTGCTCGTGACTTGCTGTGTTCTCATCCAGCAACATCTGAAATTATCCCTCATTTGCTTCTCCCACCCTTAGGATTCTGCATTTCACACCATTCCCATGTCCTTTGCATTCCTGGCAGCAAGGAAAAATAGAATTTCCACAGGTAGACATCTGATTTTTCCCTTCCCTATACTGTTCCTCAGCTTTCCAGAAATTTGGAACCACAAAATTTTTCATTTCTTGAATATGGAGGTTGTTTAGGCATGGAAAACTAAAAATTCAAGAATTTAAACAACATGGGAGTGGACCAGTGTGGTCAAATCCTGTTCTCTCAATTACTTTAAGAAAAAGCTGAGGGATCTTTGCTGAGGGAACATAGTAGGGAAAGGAAAAAGAGGATTCTGCCATGCCAGTGAGTGTAAGGAAGATTTCTCTTCAATTCTGGAGGTAAAAGAGAGATTTTCCCAAACTGAATGGCAAGTTGTCACAATTTTGCCCACCAATTTATTAGATTAAATTTTCCTTCCAAAAATTCACAGAATTCCATAGTGGTTTGTGTTGGAAGGGATCTTAAAACTCATCTCATTCCAGCCCCTGCCATGAGCAGTTCAGATGATCTCTGATGTGGAAAGGATTGAAAAGGAAAATATAATTTTAATTTTTTCAAGAGTTTTTTAGGTACCACTTTAAAGAACTTAAAAAAGGAACTTTCAAGTTTTGCTCAAAGTGCTTTGCTACCAAGTGGATGGAGGTTGTATGAAAATCTGTGCAATTTCCTAATTCAGGAAGTTTCTGCTGAGTGATGGAGATGGATTTAGGCTTTATATAAAGGAAATACATTTGTTCTCACTTTCTTTACATTTTTCTGTCGTAGCAAATCTTGAATTTCAGACTTTCTTTTACTGTTTGCTCTGTGCAAAATTGATGTTTCTTCTTGAGTTTGCTGAAGGTGGCAGAATTCAGGATGAGAAAAAGCAAAGAGAGTCTTGCTCCTTTTGTCTTAAATTTAGATTGTTGACATGGACTCGTGGAAGGAAGATTCACAAACCAGCACTTGAATCCTTGGCTATTTCAAACCTTCCAACTCCTGATTGAAACAGGATGTTGTTGATGATGTAACAGGCAAAATAATACCTGACAATTAGCATTAAAGGGTAAAAGATGATCTTTCTAAACTTGTTGAATGTCCACTGATTTTTCCTGAACTTGTGACAAATATTTTTAGTTTTATGCACATCTACTTTTGAGTGGGGTCTGTAAAAAGTCCCTGACTTGAAATCACCGATTTCACCGAGTGCTGCTGCTAACACCACGTGAGAAAGTTTTTCAATCTTCTTACCCTTTTAGAAATGCTGCAAATCTGAAAGAAAATAACTGTTTGTTGTTTGCCAGCAATTGCAGGAATGCAGTGAGGATGAAGAGGACAGGGAGTGCCTCAAACAGGCCATCACTGCCCTCCTGAACCTGCAGTGCAGCATGGAGCGCATTTACAGCAAACACTCCCCTCGGCGCCGGCCCGGGTAAGCACCCCCAGAGCCCCCCTGCCTTCCCACAGCTGCCAGGGAGGGAGATAAATCACCTTTTCCTGCGAGAAAAATCTCTATATTTCCTTCTCAAGGCATGTCTTGTTGCCAGTTTTTCTTTGTAGGTGGAGCAGCAGCCCAAAAACCTTCACGCCCCACGTGTAAGAATAATGGGAGTGTTTTACTCCTCCCCAGCCAAAGCAGTGCATGTGCATTTGGGATTTGATTATGATGCCTTAAGTTTTCAATTTTTCTCTTCTGCTTGGGTGTGCTTTTTCTGATGTGCTTGGGTGATGAAGACAAAACAGTCCTAGTCCAGTTAAGAACTCAAGGACAATTTCTTCAAACTTCAAGCCCTAAGCATAAGCAACGTGACAAGAGGAGGGCAGGCAAGCAAGGAGGATGAAACTTCATTATTTGAAACTATTAATTGGACAATTGACTCCTGCATGCAAATGGACTAAAACCTATAAAAATGTGAGATTTTGTGACCAAGCCCTCCTTTGCTTCCATCTTGGAACCATCCAGGCAGGGGCCAGGGGGTGTTGCCAGGGTGTGGCCTTTGAAGGCTTCTCAGTAAATACCCATTTTATTCCTCTTAACTCTATGTAGCCTCTGTTCCAGTTCCTCTAGGCATCAATTAGGGCAAAAAACCCCGTGATTTAAGCAATTAATTCAATTGATTATTTAAGTCTTTTGGGATGGCAAATGTGGTGTGGTCACTGCACTGCAGAGAGAGAAAGGACAGCAACACACACGGAGCTCTTTGGGGAAAAAAGGCCAATTTATTGTAGAGACAGCCCGGATTTAAAGTGTGTCAGTGCAGCCAGGACAGGACAGGAGCTCATTGGACAATTGGGAAAAACATCCTTGGGACAGCACCTCAGGATGTGTCCCACGGGAAAGACACCAGGGGTTAATGTTGGTGATGAATTCCACTCTGTTTGTCACCGTGTTGTCACCCTGGGAGACTCCTCCCTAACTGAAGCTGCAGTCAGCTTGTCAGCCTGGGAATGGAGCTGAGAGTCAGGAGAAATCCAGGCCTGAAAAGGATTTCCAAGCTGTAATTCCCCAGCTCTGTGAATGTGTGTGTCCACAATGTGGAACGTGCCCATTGTGACTTTTTTCTGTCCTTCCTTCAAGGGAGCCCGTGTGTCGCTTCTATCACCGACAGATCAGAAGCAAACACTTGGCCATCAAGAAAATGAACGAAATCCAGAAAAACATCGACGGCTGGGAAGGCAAAGACATCGGTCAGTGCTGCAACGAATTCATCATGGAAGGAGCTCTGACAAAAATCGGGGCCAAACACGAGCGCCACATCTTCCTGTTCGACGGTTTGCTCATCAGCTGCAAAACCAACCACGGGCAATCGCGGCTGCCCGGCTACAGCAGCGCCGAGTACAGGCTCAAGGAGAAGATTGTGATGAGGAAAACGCAGGTGCTGGACAAAGAGGACACAGCAGAGTACAGGCACGCCTTCGAGCTGGTGTCCAAGGACGACAGCAGCGTCGCTTTCGCAGCCAGGTCGGCCGAGGAGAAGAGCGCGTGGATGGCGGCGCTGGTGTCGCTGCAGTACCGCAGCACCCTGGACAGGATGCTGGACTCGGTGCTGCTGCAGGAGGAGAACGAGCAGCCCCTGAGGCTGCCCAGCCCCAGCGTGTATCGCTTCGTGGTGGAGGACTCCGAGGACAACATCGTGTTTGAGGATAATTTACAGAGCAGGAATGGCATCCCCATCATCAAAGGGGGCACGGTGGTGAAGCTCATCGAGAGGCTGACCTACCATATGTATGCAGGTACCCTGAGCTTTGCTTTCATTCTCTTGGGTGGCTTGGATCATTTAATCTTTTGGGTTAATTGGTATTTAGAGGAGTAAAATTGTGAATTGTAATTCAAAACTGTAATTGAATTGTAATTGAAAACTTAAAACGGTAAAATTGTGAATCGTAATTCAAAACTGTGATTGAATTGTAATTGAAAACTTACAACGGTAAAATTGTGAATCGTAATTCAAAATTGAAATCGAATTGTAATTGAAAACCTACAACAGTAAAATTGCGAATTGTAATTCACAGTTGTAATCAAATTGTAATTCTAAATTAAGAACAGTAAAACTGTGACTTGTAATTCACAATTACATATTCCCAAGCAACTACTATTCATCAAGAGATATAGATATAGATATATAGATATAGATATATAGATCTATAAAAAGATATCTATATAAAGAGACATCTTTACTATTTATAAAGAATCAGGTACCCTGAGCTTTGGTTTTTATCTTTTGGGTAGTTTGGATCGTTTAATCTTTTGGGTTAGTTGGTACTTAGAGAGTAAAATTGTGAATTGTAATTCAAAATTGAAGTCGAATTGTAATTGAAAACTTACAACGTTAAAATTGTGAATTGTGATTTACAATTACATATTCCCAAGAGACTAATATTCATAAAGATATATATATATAAAGATATATCTTTACTTTTCGTAAAGATATTCTTTATTTGTAAAAATAAAGCCACGAAAAACCTGGTTTTTCCCCTCTTGTAAAAAAATCCCTACAGCCTAACAAAAAAAGACTCCTCTCCCTAAAGTAAACTCAAAAAAAAATTATTCTTAAGTTAATAGAAGTTCAAATTAATTATAAGTTCAGTTAATAATAATAAAATAAGTTAATAATAAGTTTAAAATAATGAAAAATAATTAATAATAAGTAAAAATTATTCTTAAGTTAATAACTAAGTAAAATATTTCTGTATGTTATTAATTTTTTTAAGTGTAAAAAAAGTAGTCTGAAAGTTTTATTCTAAATTTATTATTCCTCTATATTATTAATAAATGGGGGTTTTATGCCCTTTAATTTTTAAACCTGCCTTACTTTTATTCCTAATCCTATCTCACAACAAAAAATAAGTATATTATAAATAACAAATCTAAACCACTGCAGTGAGGAAGTTAATCCTTTTATCTTTAGTTTGCTGGGCTTTTTTCTGCTTGTAATGAAATGTAAAGTAAGATATGCAGGGAATAAAAATATGTTATTAAATCACCTGGCTTTGCAGGCAAAGCTGTAAGAAGATTTTGGGTATGCAAACCTTTCATCCCCTAAAAAAACCAAAAACATTTTTCCATATTTCATCATGGCCAAAGCAATGGAGCTGTTACAGGCTGAAGCTCTGTGAAGGAAGAAAAAAAAATGAAGGTTCTATTTCTTGTATTTAATGTGTTTTTTATATTTATTACTTAAATATTTCTATTTATTTATTTCTATTTATATATAAAGGCACAGAAATGAAAGGGAAGGAGTTCCTTGAAGTGCTGAGGAAATGTTGGGTGTCCCTTTGGTGCTGCTGGGACTGTGCAGTTTTTGTTCAATTTCCCCAATAGCACAGCTGGGCAGGGACACTCACAGCCCAGGCAGGGTGGCACTGAGGATATTTCATTTTAAGAGGATGTTGAATGTGCAGTTCAGGAATTTTCAGGGAAAACTGAAGAACTGAGTGCAGATTTCCCAAGCACTGTCATTTCTGGTGTGTTTTGAATACATTTTTTGCTTTACAACCTCAGTGTCTTTTCTGCACATTAACATTTTTCTTTGTATGTTATTTCTGATATTTTGCAACTGGATAAAAACCCACTGCTGTAATTTTTTTTTTTATTCCATCCTTACAGATCCTAATTTTGTCAGGACTTTCCTGACCACCTACCGCTCGTTTTGCAAGCCCCAGGAGCTGCTGAGTTTGCTGATAGAAAGGTAAGGAGTGATCCTCCTTTCTGCAGCCATGGCAAAGGTTTGGAATCACAGAATAGAATCCCAGAATGGTTTGAGAAAGAAACTTAAAATCCATCCAATGCCACCTCTGCCATGGCAGGGACACCTCCCACTGTCCCAGCTGCTCCAAGCCCCATCCAGCCTGGCCTTGGACACTGCCAGGGATGGAGCAGTCACAGCTTCTCTGGGAATTCTGTTCCAGGCCCTCCCCACCCTCACAGTCAGGAATTTTTTCCTCAAATCACATCTCAGTTTGAATCCTCCTCCTCTCTCTCAGTTTGAATCCTTTCCCCTTATCCTGTCAGTCCAGTTCTTGATGGGTTTTGTGTATTCAGAATCACAGAACATCCCTTGCAAAAATCAGAGATTCCAAGTGTTCCTTTCCTGCTTGGGATCCCAGTGTCAAGTTTCAGTGTTTGAGTTTGTAAACCAGTAACTTTAAAACAGTGATGCAGGTTTTCAGTGCAAGCTTCCTTTTCCCAGTTTTAAATGAGAAACCTGAATGAGGTTTCTGAGCTGGAGCACCTGGTGTGCCTGGGCTGTGGGAGGTGGTGTTGGCAACTGCTAAAGTGGCTCATGAGAGAGTTGAGTGCACCCAAATCTCAATGGAAATCAGGACAGAAATGTTCCAGGCAGCTTTGTTTGATGGCACACAATTAAGGTAAACAGCATTTTAATGCACTATGTTAAAGCTGCTCTTAAGCTCTCATCTAATCTTCCCTTAATCAAGCCAGCAGATCCTTAAAAACCTTCTATCCCAGTCTAGACATGGTGTGATGAGCAGAGAAGCAGTGAATTAGCAGGGTGTGGAGCTGGGGAGGAGGGAATTCCAGGCAGACTGCAAGGCAGAGGAGCACCTGATTCTCCTCACACTGAATTTCTATAAACACATTTCTGTAAAGGTTGGATCCCACAAACCTGGGGATTTTTGAGCTTTCTGTGCTGTCAGGCACTGCCCCCCTGCAGAACACTGCTTTGGAGCTGAGCCCTTGGAGAAGGCTCCAAATTTGGGGGATGGAGTTAAAATCACGGGTGTGCAGTGAAATAGAAGTGTGTGATTGCACACGGGGAAGGGTTTGGGATTTGGGGTTTTATAATATAGGAATGGGGGTGGGACAA